AACTTTGTCATTTGAGGACTCCAAAAACTAACACTCATTGAACTAATTCTTAAGCAACTTTATGTGCTAAAGTAGCAAAATAAAAAGTCATAAACACATTTTAAATGTTTATTTTTCGTTTCTGAAATATGAACAAAGCTCAATTCAAATTTCATGTCCAATGTTATGTTCTATTTGATTGCTCTCAATCGTTTCTTTCTAGATATTCCCCAGCAAGTTAGAATGTACAATAATTACATTATGCTCCTACTTCATACTCTCTTTGAATAGTGTGGTTTGTGGCCTGGCCATCCCAAAGAGACGTGAATACTGGAACAACCAACAACTAAAGAAAATGAGTGTAGAGATTTCTTTAATGGTGAAATATACAGAAATTGACTTGCTGAGAGCAGCCACACAAAGCAAGAGCCAATACACCCACCCAAGCGAGAAGGTGCCAGGTTGCTTGGAACCTACCACCTTCCTTATAGACACACATCTGCCTAAGATAGTGCCCATGTGGAGTGAGGATTCCAATAGGCCTGAGAGAAACACTTATTTTCTTAATGGGGGGTGGGGGGGGTGGCGGCATTGTACCCTCTTACCTATGCAAGTGTGAAAATAACTTCTCACATATCCCCTATTTGAAAAAAATGCTAAAGGCAGTGAAGATCATTTCTTTAAAACTGTCACTATATATCTTTATTTGAGAGGCTAGCAGTATCAGATTGAGCTGTCTTCAAATTCTATGACTATAAAGTGATTTCCCTGAAGTTAACATTATTCTTTTCTTAGTTTCTAAGTATGTTTTAAGGCAAAAATTTTTGTTTTATTCCTTTTTTGTATTTCCTTGGTTAACTTTCCATTTGGGATACATAATAATTGATCATTTTCTGTATATTGAATGAATGTTAAATCCTGTATTCTTTTATGTATGTCTATGTAGCCCACACACATCAAGATAATTCTTAGATATCTAAAACTTCATTAATGCAATTGGCCATCTTGAATTTTATTTCTAAATTCACAATTGCCTGAGTACGTCTACATTCTACAGATTTATAGATTCTAGTATAGACACTACAGTACTGGAAGCACTGGGCATAATGAAAAAAAATCTGCTTTTTATCTACATATAAGGAAAACATAACTTTCCCAAAAAATATTTCCTATAATTGGGGGGAGAGGGAATGCATTTTATTTAATTATTTTTAATCAAAACCTTTATTGCTAAATAATGTTAACTTTATTTGATTTATTATCAAATACTATCTAATCTGTCTTAAACGCACAGAGACTAAGAAGATAAAAGTTAATATGATCATTGCAGACTTAAAACTTCACTGAAAACTTTAATTATCCAAAACAAGAGGGAATTTTTTAATCACTAAATTAATTTGGTTATATTTCACAACTAGCTCCTGCCCTTACTAATTTCCTCAGTGATTAGAAAACAACAGGCATATTATGAAGGAAATATAAATTTAATGCAGTTGCATTTTAGGTTTTTGATAGTTTAAAGAGATAATATCTAAATATTATAGATTTTTTTAACTTGCAACAATAGTAAAAAGCAACAAATCAGAAAAAAATGTGAGATCTGTCTCTTCTCATTTAATAAAAGCATATAATAATATCCAGACTAAGATGTAGAAACTTTCATGATCTATGTATGCATACAACTAAGCATCTATGATTGAGAAAAGATAAAGTTTTCCAAATCTTAAATCATTATGACTTAAAATATAAATACTGTATCTTAATAGGAGTGGTAGAAATAATTTAGAGCTATGTTTCTTTTTACTCTATGTCTATTTATCAACCTTATACAAAGAACACTAGAAATGCAATGCTGTTATTTTTTTTTTCCTTGTAAGTACTACAGTTTAGATGACTGACTTTGGCATTTTGAAAATGATGAATTTAATCTCCTGAATATCTTTTCTCACTTCTCCAACTAAAACACTATAAAGTTTACACATAATACAGTCCTTGAAGAAAGTGCTGAGCTGTGACATAGAGTAAATCTGACTCGGGCTGTCCCAAACTCTCCTCTGCCATAGGTGCACACTACCAAATTTAAATGAAGCACATTATTTATAAATTATTAACCATTTCTAAATATGCTTCACATGACTGGCTTCACTGAGGTGTTACATCCATCCTTGCAAGCTTCATCAGACAGTAGCAGGCTGAAGTTGCACAGTAAATGCTAATTCTCAACCCGGGAGAGGATGGCCTTAGCAATTACCCTGAAAAAGGTCAGATATCAAATTTCTTTATGCTGACTTTGATGCCAAATTAAGTCACACTGCAGGATTGGATATTGTATGATTCCTGTCTTTTCTGGACATTGGGGCATCAATATATGGTGTCACTATTTTCTCCACTGATGCATGATTAAGCTTTATATTCTTCAGAGCATCACATATCATTTGATTCAAAGTTTATTTATTTATTATTATATGATCTTAAATAAATGTCTAAAATCAAATGAACTATTGGAAAGAAACAATTTCTTCAAAAACTTGTCATTTCATGATTTTTTGGTATGGCTTAGACTTATTTGGCTGTAAATATTAATGCCATTGTGTGGGAATTGACAGGAATGGATTTAAATACAGAATACAATAGTGATGTTTTAATTTATCATCAATATTTTAAGAGCTTTAAAGTTCATTATAAACATGTTTTTCACACTTGGGACAGAGATACAATTCTGAAGTTGACTGACTTGGTATCAGAAAACTCAGGAAATTTCAAATATACTAAGGGATTCTACATTTTAAAATGTATCCTTTCTCATATTGACATTTTTATCCTACTTATTCATAAACATGGTCATAAAAATTCTAGTTTTACCAATTCTAATCCATTATCTCATGAATATTATTTACATTCAATGGCAATAATATCTATAACGTGACTTTTAGGTAATAGGGAAACAATGCTATTAATTCCAAGACTGCAAATGGTGGCAATGTCGTTCTGACTTAATAGACTACAATTTTATTAAATAATATAGGTTCAGTGGTCCCAGGGTCATTTGATTAGGAAATATTTAATGAAGGCATTAATATTTACTCCTACCCAACTTCCAGCTGGAATTTCATGGTGTGAGAGTACCGGGTTAATTGAGTTCTATAACCAGATCTCCAGACCACTTTAGAAATAACTGTAATGCATATTCCCTAAGGTCTGATCTATGAACAGTGAGAAAATAGAAGGAAAAATGATTAACGTATAACTAGATACTGCTGACATCTTCAGCATAAATATTCATTAAAAGTTTGAGCAAGGGGTAGCCCCGGTGGCGCAGCGGTTTAGCGCCGCCTGCAGCCCAGGGCATGATCCTGGAGACCCTGGATCGAGTCCCACGTCAGGCTCCCTGCATGGAGCCTGCTTCTCCCTCTGCCTGTGTCTCTGCCTCTCTCTCTCTCTGTCTCTATGAATAAATAAATAAAATCTTAAAAAAAAAGTTTGAGCAAGTAATGAAGATTTCTCTAACAAAGAATTATGAGTCACTTTTCCTTCCAAACCCTGGACAGGAAGATGGAGACAAGATGCATAGGTCTTGTGTTAGTCGATAGAAATACAACAATATATAGACAACAAATTTTCTATAGATTCATAATTCCTATTAGTGGCTAAAATTTCTTTCTTAAGAATTTACTCATGGGAATACCTCTGTCTGGAAAATAAAATCATAATTATCCCTCTTCCATTTGCCTCTCTTTAAATTCCACAAAGTAAAATGAATATTAAAATTTGGCATTTATATCCCAATCAAATCTGGAAGGCATAAGCCCAATATATTCAATTATGACCACCGGAGGTAATAAGTGCAGATAATAAAAATAATATAGTTATCATTTATTGAGTTTTTACTATGAACCAGCAAATTTCTAACAGCTTTGTGTGTACTACTTTATTTGATCACTACAACAACCTACAAGGCAAATGACACTGTTATCTCCATTCTAAAGACAAGGAACGTGAGGCATAGAGTGATTCATATTTTGTTCAAAGCCACAGATCTGCTCTGAGGTAGAGTACAGATTTAAATACACACAATCTAACTTTGGAGGCTATTTTGCAAACAGGTTTACTGACAAAGCTGCTCTTATCCAAAATTCTCAATTAAATGAGTGGCCAAGATGTAGGAGGAAGATGTACACACCAGAGCCAAGAGAAAACATTTCATTGCCAGGACCTGAGTCATGATGGCAAAAGTAAGAAAGATAGATGTTGGCAGGAATCCCCTCAAGGCACTCTGTTTTTTTTTTCTTTTTTTTTCCTTTTCTTCATTATATATTTATTATATATAATTATATATAATAACTTATTTTATATAGTTTTAGAATAATTTTATTTAATGTTCCTTTGCTAATATTTTACCAATTTATAATCCTCTACTAATGCTCATATTTACTCACATCTGTATCCCCAGTTCCTAGCACATGGTAGAATTTCAATGAAGAGTTGTTGAAAAAAATCAATGAATGTTGAATGAGAAAGGAGAGAATTAGGGAGAAAATGAGGTGTATGTTTAAGTTAGCTGAAAGACACTAAGGGCTTCTGTGTAGTAGGAAGCCAGTTTAGAGCCCCATAGAGTGTCACTTAGTGTTTACATTTCACTGAACCCCTTTAAAATCTGAGGCCCGACCTATGCTCTTATTTCTCCCTTTCTTCTCTTTTTTTATGATCCTACTTCTTAAATGACAGTTCTTGAAGTGATGACTAAAAACTGGTTCTGAATCCTGAATAAGATTTACCAAATTATCTCAGAAGATGCTTTTCATTGACAGAGGTCAAGAAATGTTTAGGAGCTGAGGCAGAAGCACAGAGAGTAAAGAGCTGTTGACTGCAAGTAGAAGTTATAATTAGCATAAGAAAGCACTGGAATATCAAAGACTTGAATCTGGGTCCAAGTAACTGAGACCAGAACAAGGTGGAATTTGTCTGGGATGGAGTCAATGTTCATGAATAAGATCACTAATATAGTTGTGAGTTAACCATAGATGGTTCCTGGCTTCATGGAATTTAGTCTGGGAGTATTGGTAGAGGATTACAAAATGGTGAGGTATTAGGAGAGGAACACTAAATAAACAAAATTATTCTAAAAATTTATAAAACTAAGAACTATGATGCATATAATGAAGAAAAAGGAGAAAAGAGAGTGAGAGAGAGAGAGAGAGAAACCTAGAGTTTCTTGAAAGGAAAATTAAAAGGAAAGGTAAAGAAACTTAAAAAAAAAAAAAACAACTGTTGCCATCACGAGTCAGTTTAAATGGAGAATATATTTTTTTCTAGAATACATCAATATTTAGAAGCTGAAAAGACAAAAAAGAACTAGCAAAAGAGATAAGGAGTAGCTAGTGAAATAGGAATAAAACATGAAATTGTAGTATACTGGAATCACATGAGGAAAATGCTTGAATAAAAAGAATGGTTAATCACATTGAATGCTGCTCATAGGTGAAAACCTACCTTTAGATTTAGCAATGGCCTGGTCATTGTTCACCTGGAAGAGAGTCATTATTGCAGAGTATTATAAGGAAGACTGCTAGCAATAGGCTTAAGGGAGAAGAGGAAATGAACACAGTGACCACTGACAGCTCTCTTTAAATGTCTGGCTAGAAGGGAAAATCAGTGGAAGGACTGGTAAGTTTAAATTGCCTTTTTTTAGAAGGTTAGGTCAATTTTTTTATGGGAATAAAAATGGGAATAATTGAATAGGGACACAAAAATTGGTGCTGAAGGAGAGACAGAGGGAGTTTTCTAGAAAGACATCCCTGAGCCATCAAAATGGGATAGAATGAAAGTCAGTGCACACAAGTAAAGGAGTTGGCTTTTAAGAGATGCACAGACAATTTATTCGCAGCAACTCAGTAAAAGCAAGGTAGAATATATGAATGTAATACAGGTGGGAGTGCATGTGAGGGACCTACTCTTATGATTGCTTGTATATTCTCAATTAAATATGAACACGATAATTAGAAAGGCCAAGAAGGTGTGGAGCTAGGGGACAAAGGATAAGATGTAAATTATTCCATCCAGTGGGATGGAATATTAAACGGACTAGGGAAATGTGGTAGTATTGCTGGGAAATTGAAAAACTCACTCGTAATTAATATCATGAACTGTGACCTTTAGGCATGACTTTGTCCCTCTTCCGGCTGCGCTCATGAACACAGCATGTTGATGGTGGATTTGAAGTAAACAGAGAGTTTAGTCTGTGAAAATGAGAGAAGGTAAGGGTCAGTGTGAGTGAAGGTACAGTGAAGGAAGTAACTAAAGTAACAACTGTAAACTCTAAACTGGATAGGGAGGTGGGAGGTGATTGAGGAGACAAGAGGACTGTAGGGTGGTGAAAGGGTATTAAATCCGTAGTTTGTAAATCTCGAAGAGGTTGAGATCCGAGAAAGAGGTAAACAATAAGATGTGAAGGACAGAAATGCAAATACCTAAATTTAAACTGAGGAAGGTGATGCAGTATTTTTCACCCTCGCCCTGTGTGTGTTAAACCAATTCCTTCCCCCAAAGTTGGAGGTTAAGCAAAGTCTTAGGATGTAAACCTCATTTTCCCATTTATATATAGAAGTGTATCTATTTTCCAGAGCTGAGGATCCCCAGAACTGTGGGCTGAAGACTGGAGAAATTAGAGACGTCAGAAAAGGAGGTGGAACAGCTAGGAGGGCACCAGGTAGAAGAGTTAGAAATGCCCCCAAGAGAAGGAGACTTCACTGAATTGATGGTTATTTACACTCAGACCAAGAGACTATTGTAGGTCACAGGCTAAGGCCACGGTCTATATGTCTAATACAATGGAATTGGCAACGGAGGGGTTCTAGACTCTCTTGCAGAGCTCGGAAGGTTCTCTTCACCTCCTAGATCTGACCACACCTTCACATTCACTGTGCATTGTATGTAGAGCAGTAAGGCAGCCTCGCTGCTATGGGGCACCCCTTCTTGGCTGGGCCAGCCTTCCCATACTGATCTTCAACACTGTCAACTGCTCTTTCATAGACAATGAAAGACTCTTTCCTTCTTTTAGTAACTTCACACTTTCCTGCTTTTCCCCATCGTTTATAGGTTCCACTACCTTGCTGTTCTCTGAAATGCCAGTGCTTCTCAGGGTTCCATTTTCAACACCCTACTTGTATTTCCTTGGCAAGCTAATCTATTCTCAAAGTTTAATAACCATCTATTTGGTTACCATTTAATAATATCTCATTAGCCTGTATCTCCCTTATGATTACAAAATTTTCTAATCAAAATTAATGCCCTAAGAAGTACTTTTCCACTTGCCCCAAACTGAATTCATGAGCTTTCACTTTAAGAACATGCCTTTCCCTGCATCTTTATCCATTGTCTAGTAGCACAGAGTCTCCCTAAATTCTCATTTTCCCTTTCTAGCCTCCAATTTAATCAATCAGTAATCTTAATGAATTTATCCCTACCCATGTTATATCACCTCTTCATTCCTGACTAATCTTTGCCTTTATTACAGCTTTAGGATCATGATATGTCTTTTTTTCCCTTTTGTTTTATTCCAAATGACACTGCAGACAGAGAGATCTTCCTAAAATTTATATTGCTTTCCTTTCAGAATCCTATCATTTTAGTATGGCATACTAGGCATTTCATCATCAGTCTTGCCTTATCTATCCAGCCTTACTTGTCCTCTCACTTCTCTCCCTCACACTCTCGTCTCCTGATTATTTTAATCTAAGAAGCACACCCTGCTGCCTCTCTTTTCTAAGTATTCATATATTGTCTTTCCTTTGTCTAGGGTTTCTTTCCTTCCCTACTTAGAGCTTTGCTAAACTAATCTCTAATGGTCTTTCAGGATTCAGATTAGATAGAATTCATCTTGAAAACATTTTCTGATGGCTTTAGACTAGATGAGAAGAGTCCTTACCCTTCAGAGGAAGCCTCTAATTTCTTGCATTTACTTTTATATTACATTGGATTAAAGTTCTCTTATAGTTCCATCTTTGTCACTGTATCACAAGCTCCTTGACACCTGGTGCAATATCTTGTTCACCTTTGTATCCAGCATTTAGCCCCTACTGAGTTCTCATTGCATGTTTGCTGAATACATGAATGAATGAATAAATTGTCAAATTTCTAGTAATAGCTTTGAGTTCACTTTAATTGCTGAAAAAGGAATCTCCACTGCAACAGATGTAACTGATTATATAACAAATGAAGCCCTGGTATGGAGCACACAGCCAAATTAGCATTTGTCTCATCTCTATTGATATGGAGTGCTATAAACCAGTTACTGTAGCACTTAGTATGTATTTTGTTAATATATATTAGAAAATTATATATATGTAATATACATATGTGATTCACAACCTCAATGATGATCCTGTTTTTTTAAGCCTTATTATGGCCCTTCTAGTTTTCCACTGATCATCCTTTTCTAGCTTTAAAAACCATAAACCACATTCTCATACTCCATTTTAATTTTTAACACTAGCATGGTATTTTTTTTTCTTTCTATATATGAGCAGGGTAGGCAGCTAAAACACAGAGCAACAGATCACACTAAGAAACAAATAGGTTCAGAGATCACAACTACAAATAACCTTAAAAGAAAATTCCTTAAAATTTCAATTCCTTACAATTCTAGTGCCAAAACTTGCATTTAAAGGAGGTTTTAAAGGAGGTTTTATATCTACTCATAATCTGTTCTCATATAGTTTGCCCAGGAGAGGTTAGCTATTTTCAGTTAAAATTGATCCACCTTCACTATACTTGTAGTTGAACACAAGGACTAAAGGACGTGAATCTCTTATCAGCTCCTGACAGGCTTGGATTACACATATTATACTCAATTTAAATGTGGAGAACATTGAAATTGAACATCTAAAAACATACTTTTTCAAGTTTCAGAGAAATCATATTTACAGTTTCACAAAACAGAAAGTGTTATACTTAATTCAATGTTTAACACCTACTAAAGTGTTATTTTCAAATCACAGAAATGATTCTTGCATTCAAAAATATTTCTAAGAGGCAGTATAATGATTCTAAATAATATTAATTATTAGAAAGCTTACTCACAAAGATAAATTATCTTTTGTCAAGTTAGGTTAATATCCATTAAGTTCAAATGCCATATACCCTGAACAAAAATGTGTGATTTAAAAAAATATTTCCAAGCTCAATAAATCATCAAATTCAATTGATATTTGACATAGAAAAGATTTCAATTCCTAGAATTCCTCATAATTAGTTTGTACTTTTGAAAATTTGATCTATACACTAACCTGACCCTCTCCTGAGGACAGAAAAGAGTTCATGTATTCTCCTTTGGGTTTTTATGCATTTTTCCTAATGAAAAACTTCCTATAGAGGAATTAAAAAACAATATGGTCAAGACATTCCTCTATAATAAATGGATGCATAAATTTCATAACAGTGCCACCCTTGACAATATCAAGTTATATAAAAAATATCAAGTTATATAACAAAATCTACAAAACTAATTTTATCCAAAATTGTTTATTTTCCATTGTGAATTTGACTGCTTTTCAAAAACGTGGGAATAACTTACAGTCTAGTCAAAATACATGCTGCATTACTTACATTTCCTACTAAGTAATACATTTTAGTCACGAAGATTCAATCTATAATAAAAAGATGTATTTGAGAATACGAGTATTTTTTTTTTCCTTTTTCCCATTTTTTTAGTAATAAATAAGAAACCAATCTAACGTATGTAAATGGATATTTTAATAAGACAAAAATGTTAATTCCCAAATATTCCTGACAAAGGAAATAAAGATTTTAAATTTGGGGTATCTTTCTTCCTTTTTCCCTTTTTTTGTCTTCCTTTCTCTTTTCTGTTCCTTTCCTTTCTTTTTCTTCTCTTTTTTCTTTCATGACTTTTCTTCTCTTTCTCTTTTCCAGAAACCCAACATTGAAACTAGCAAAATTTCCAGAAAATATTTTTAAGATATAAAAGTAATGTGTTTTATTTTCTTTTATTTTACCACTCTAGTTTGCATTTGGTAGCAACTTTAAGGAAAGTCTTTAATAAATCTTCAGAAAAAATATTTTTTAAAGGAAAAAAAGAAAAGTCTCCTCAGAATTCATTTTTTATTATTGTTTTTCTTTTACAGAATATTCTGGAGCTCTTCCTAATTTCTCTACTTCATTTGCTGCTTTGCTAAGAATTAAAAAGAGTTCATCTTCATCCCTCTTTGGTTCAAAGAACAGACCACGATATAGCAATCCTTCCTTAGGAACACTAAGTGTTTCTTCACCAAGCTGGCGAGGTGCAGCTCAACATTATTATTCCCCTATCAATCTTTATCATTCCTCAGATGCCTTCAAACAAGATGGTAAGTGGCAAAGGAAAACTGAATCTGTTGCACTTTTTTTTAAGACTATTGTAATTGGGGTCAAGACTATTGCAACAGAGGAGAGAAGTTAAAGTCAACTCCCTTAAAACAGCAAATGGCAGAGTTTTTAAAATCTAGAAAAGTGGAGGACATTAAAGGAGAGGTTGGTGAATGTGATGAAGGGATGTAGGGGTGGAAAATTTTTTCCTTTGTTTCCTTCAGATTCTTTGGCTGGCCTAATAATTAAATTGACATAAACACAGATTATCAGGTGAAAAACAATTTCATACATACAGGAAGTGACCAAAGCAGGCAGCTTTTATATCTTTTAGAAAGCAATAAATTTATGAAGAATTAACAATATAAAGGAGTTTGGGCTTGAGGTAGGTAGTAAATTAGTGAAGACATAACATGTTTTGTTTATACAATCTTCTTGGCCTTAAATTCCTTATTTCTGGTGGTAAGTGTGTCTTCTACTCCCCTGGTATGGGATGATGCTTTTTACATGGGAGATTGGTTTCCTGCTTTCAGGAGGACAAAAGAGGGTTGGAGTGTCCTTCTTGCATCAGCTGCTTTTTAAATAACTTTATTTCAAAATCATCAATATATCAAAGTGGCATACCTTTAGGTGGTATGTTCTGCTTTCCTTTAGCCATGTGCATGTATTAATTGATGCTTACTTAAATTAGTCTCTTATCCTCCTATAGAGACTGGGAGATAGGGAGCCTTTCTATCTTAATAATTGCATTTCAAAGGAATGGCTGCCAGGTCCTTGGGAAAGTGTACATTCAGCATTATTTCTGAGTGGAAAATAAATAATGTAAATTTCCAATACTAAGATATCAGTTAAATTAAGGACTACTGAATAGCTATTAATATTTAGGTTTGAACATTTTCTAGATGTTAACTCTCTTCTTGAGTTCATCAACAAAATAATACAAGGTTAGTTAACAGTCAGAGAAAAGCACTAACAACTGATTATCACCAGTATGTCTGTGCCAGGCTCTTTTGTAGAGCTTACCTCAATAATTCTCTCAACAAATATGTGAAAAGGATTCTTACTGTCTTCTCTGTAAATGGAAACTCAGAAGGAGATAAACATCTTTAACAAGGTCATGCTGCTAATAAGCAGGCAATTTTTTTATTCATATATCTACTGATTTTAAGTCCAATACACTGGGCTACATTTTAATTATGATTGATGAAGGATTAAACATTCAAAGTAACATTTTGCAAGAACTAAACTATTTGCAAATATCCCAGAAATGTCATATTATGAGGTTGTTGTGCCAAGCACAGGCAAACTTGTGTCTCCTGATTACACCAGTTGTTGCATTGTGAACATTATCTCATAGAGTTGGTATTTAAATTTTATTTAAGCATAGTATTAGCTCCTTAAAAATGTTTTATTTTTTCGAATGCTTAGTGTAATTTAAAAATTCCCATAATATGTTCTGTGAAAATCATTATCAAGAGAACTGGGGAAAAAGATTTGCTAAAGACACATCTGATAAAGGACTGCTATCAAAATATACAAGGAACTCTTAAAACTTAACACAAGAAAACAAACAACCTAATTTTAAAAATGAGTCAAAGTCCTTAACAGACACTTCACCAAAGAAGATACACACATGACAAATAATCATATGAAAAGATGGACTACATCGGGAAATGAAAATCAAAACAAGATACCAGTACATACCTTTTATAATGGCCAAAATACAGAACACCATCAATACCAAATGCTGGAGAGAATGTGGAACAAGAATGCTCATTGATTGCTGGTAGGAATACAAAATTTTATAGCCACTTTGAAAGGCAGTTTGGTGGTTTCTTACAAAACGAGGCCTACTCTTACCATATGATTCAACTTCAATTGTACTTCTTGGTATTTATCTAAAGGAACTGAAAATGTATGCCTACATAAAAGCCTGCACATAGATGTTTATAGCAGTATTATTCATAATTCCTGAATCTTGGGCATAATCAAGATGTCCTTCAGGAGGTGAATGGACTAAAAAACAAAAATACAAAAAACTATGATATATCCAGACAACATATATTATTCAGCACTAAAAAGAACTGAGTGATTAAGCTATGAAAAGATATCAAAAAACCTTAAATGGGGGATCCCTGGGTGGCGCAGGGGTTTGGCGCCTGCCTTTGGCCCAGGGCGTGATCCTGGAGACCCGGGATCGAATCCCACATCGGGCTCCCGGTGCATGGAGCCTGCTTCTCCCTCTGCCTGTGTCTCTGCCTCTCTCTCTCTCTCTCTCTCTGTGACTATCATAATAAATAAATAAATAAATAAATAAAATTAAACAAAAAAAAAAAAGAAAAACCTTAAATGTTTATTACCACGTGAAAGAAGCCAATCTGAAAAGACACATATTGTATGATCCCAATTATTTAACATTCTGGAAAAAAAATGATGAAGACAGTAAAAAGATCAGGGCCAGTGATGAGGGTTGAGGAAGAGAAGAATAGACAAAGCAGAGAGGATTTTTAGGGCCATGAAAATACATGGAATATCATAATGATGGATATAAGTCATTATACATTTGTTTAAGCCCACAAAATGTATAACACCAAAAGTGGACTCTAATGTAAATAATGGATTTTGAGTATATATGACAAATTATATTTATCTTTAGTTATAAAAAAGTTACCATCCTGGTGAGTGATGTTGCTAATCGGGCAAAATATGCATGTGTGGGGTGAAGTTTTATGAAAAGTCTCTACCTTTCTCTCGATTTTGCTGTAAGTATAAAACTGCTCCTAAAAAAAAAAAAAAAAAAAGCCTTGGGGCACCTGGCTGGCTCAATGAGAAGGGGATTTTACTTTTGATCTTGGGGTCATGAGTGTGAGCCCCACACTGGATGTAGAGATTACTAAATAAAGTTTTTTAAAAATTCCTATTATATTAACTTCAATGGCACAATCATTAGGCAGAGATATATTGGGATTTGCATTCTTTAGGCATCACTATTTATGGGACAACAACTAAGTAGAATATACTGAGTGGTCAGAACTATAGGATACTCTTACATTTTCTATAATTTGGTAACAACTAGTGTTCTACTCCTTTGTTCTTTTGTTTCAAGTATAAATTAACATAACTCACAATACATAAAATACAAATATAAAATATGAATTAAAGCACACAGAAATGATAAAAACATCAAAAATTGTAACATAAAATGAAGCCAGGCTTGAGACTAATTCAAAGTATCTACTGTAAGTGCCTACATACTTGCTGAAAACTAGTCTCCATTTTGGGTAACTGATATCCAAGGAAAAATAAATTCTGGTCAATTACATATTTTCCAGTGTTTCAAAGATTAAAGTGAAATAATTATTCAGTAGAAGCATAGCTATTTCTGACACTAAGATCAGACAAATTTTTTTGGAGGTTCCTCATTAAGAGTTTGTTATTTGATGTAATGGCCGGTGACCTGAACATTATTCTTACTGTATACATCACAAAGTGTTTTATTAGCTCTAATATAGGCAGATGAAACCCAAATATCAACCACAAAATGAGAAGTAATTATCTAAAGCTGTGCTGCCTAGTCTTTAACATACATACAATCACTTGGGAACCTTGTTAAATAGATACCCTTTCAATAAATCAGGAGTAAAGCCAGATAATCTGCATTTTAAAAGCTCCCAGGTGATGTTGATACTGCTGGTTGGTGAACCATACTTTGAGTAGAAATTCTCCAGGCTGGGGGCTGGTTTGATATAATTTAAATCTTTCATTGCTCTAGTTTAATCCATATTTAGAGTATCAGGAAAAATAGAGAATCTGAGTATTTCCCAAGCAATCCTCCATAATTATTGTTTTCTCATCCTAGGATTTAATAGATCTTGGCTAAATGTGGCTTTGACTGTGTTCTCTCTGACAATACCCTGACATATGGCTTTTGTCAGGTAATTCCCTTTAGCCTTAATAGAGAGTAAAGTTGACATTGACATGCTCCTGTGAAAAATGAGAAAACTAACAGAAACTGAATAGAAAGTCATCACACTCCTCCTCAGTGATATCCCAGAAGTACCCCAAGATAGAACCAAGATTTTTCTGAAAAATGTAAAAATCTGATCTGCAGAGAAATTTGGGAAAGCAATTCTATTCTTGTATATACCAGGATAACTCCCCCACATATACACAAGAAAATATAAAAGTATGTTCATTACATTTATATGTGTAATAGCAAAAAATTGGAGGCAATTCAGATATTCTCAGAAGGGAAATGGATACATAAATTGTGATTTTTCATTTATTGAAAAATTAAAATGGTTAAAGTGAGTAAACTATATAATCAAGAAACAAAATGGACATACCTCAAAAGATAATGCTTCACGAACAAGGAAAGTTATAAAACACTGCATATATCACACATGTAAAAATTAAAAAAAATATATACTATCTATGGATATATATACAGTATAATTTATAGTATATATATGTATATATATAGTATATATTGTATAATTTTAAAACCATGAATGTGAGGTATCAAGTTGACTATAATGTTTACCTCTAAGGACAAAGAGAGAATGAGAGCAAAGAAATGGCACCAGGATAGGGAAAGTAGATGACTGCAACTGTGTGATATTTTATTTCTTAAAATAAAAAATCTGAAACTAATATGATGAAGCTTGTAGTAGGTAAAATCTAAAATCATAATGATTCCTGCCTCCTGGTATTTACAGTGCAATCCTTTCTCTTCAACTATGAACCAAAGCTAGTAATCTGCGTCTGGAGAATAGATTATGGCAAAAGTAATGGAATATGGCTTCCAACATTAGGTTTTGAAAAATTCTGGCTTCCATCTAACTCCCATTTCAAAGAAGAATACATAATCAGGATTTGAATAAACAAAGTTTGATGGACTATAGGGATTAGGTGCCCAGAGAAGAATACCATCTGGTAGAGATGAACAGAAGATAACACAGAAAATTAAAATAGATGAATTTTAGGAAGACAATCTTGAAAG